AGAACAATCAGGTAATGGCCCAGCAGTGCCATATGTGGTGTTTACCTGCATTAAACTGGGTCCTGACAGCACCACATCATAGCAACAACCCTGATGGCAGGTGTTAGGATGTCAGTGTGGTGTGTTATGTGAGTCCTACCCCTAAGCAGGCTCAGATGGCATTCAAGAAACAGATGCTGGGTGCCGTGCTCTGCACCTGTCATCTCAAGCTACTTGCTAAGCAAAGGCAAGAGGATCACAAGTTCAAGGCAAGCCTGGGCAACTTACCAAGACCCTTTCTCAAAACAAAAAAAATTTTAAAGGGTTAAAGATGTAGTTAAGTGGTAGAACTCATTCCTAGTTTAATCCTTGGGCTTAATCCCCAGCACTGCAAAAATAAAGAAAGAAAGAAAAAGAAAGAAAGAAAGAAGGAAGGAAGGAAGAAGAAAAAGAAACAGAGGCTCTACATTATTCAGGACAAGCACTGGAAAGGTGGGAGGATACTGTCCTCTAGGAACAAACCACATGAGGCTTGATTTGATGAGAAAAACAACTACCGATAGATATTAACCTGGAAGAGTCACATGGCCCTTTTCTTCCTATAGGATTTGTGTAAGACTAAACCCTTCCTCTTTGTTTTCTAGACCCTGTTTCCATCAGGATACCTAATCCCCCTCACCCAGTGCTCATCCCTGGGGGCAGAGTCCATTTTGTCTAGTAAAGAAAACTCAGGTGCACTTTCCCCGAACCACAGGATCTACAGCTCCCCGATCGCAGGTGAGTGTAGGCAAATGACTAGTCAAACTTGAACCAGTCTCAAGTTCAAGTTCACTTATACCTTGTAAACTTCTCAAATGCCTGTGCTTCTAAGATATCTTCCCCTGTTTTTCCCCCAGGTGTTATTCCAGTGACAACCTCGGAACTCTCTGCTGTTAATTTTCCCTCTTTTCATGTCACACCTTTGAAGCTAATGGTCTCACCAACTTCTGTGGCAGCTGTTCCTGTTGGGAACAGCCCGGCTCTCGCTTCAACCCACCCCATTCCCATCCAGAACCCAAGCTCAGCCATTATGAACTTCACCTTGCAGCACCTGGGACTCATCTCCCCCAGTATGCAGGTGTCTGCCAGCCCTGGGCCTGGAACCAGTACCATTCCTGTGTCCCCAAGGATAGAATCAGTTAGTGTCATACCAGAAAATGCAGGTTGTCAGCAAGGAAGGACCACCATCTATGACTCACCAGTTCCAGGCCAGAGCCAACAGAATGGACAATCAGTTGCTGTGCCAGGGGTACAACAGGTGAGAGTGTTTCTCTTTAATTTAGTACGGAAAGTCAACCCAGGGGTGCTCTATCACTGAGCTACATACCCAGTTCTTTGTATATTTTATATTGAGATAGAATTTCACTAAATTGCCCAAGCTGGCCTTGAATTTCTGATCCCCTTGACTTGGCCTCTAGGGTACCTGGGATTACAGTCGTGCACCACAGTTACCTATTAAGTCCCATATATTTATATCATAGGAGATTTATTTTTGCTTTCTTTCTTTGGAGAGGGAGAGGATGAGAGTTGAAAGCCTACCTTCTTTCCAGACCCATGTTATAGGGTTATCATGAGATAACCCAGTAAGATTTGTCTTCCCTTAGCAAAAATTATTGAGAATATATTAAACAGGCTTCCCTAGCCAATTTTAGAATATGCTGGTTTCCCAACATATGACATATCCATCCAGGCCCATCTTCCAAATCTGCAGGTCATATGTATCTCTGTGTGTTTAACTCCTTTTTCCATCTCTCTTTTCAATCAGCCCATTCCTGTGACACCCAAAGGGTCACAATTAGTGGCCGAAAGTTTCTTCCGTACCCCAGGTGGACCAACCAAGCCAACCAGCTCATCCTGCATAGATTTTGATGGTGCTAATAAAATGTCCTTTGGAGCCCTCTTTGTCCCACAGCGAAAACTGGAAGTCTCAACAGAGGATGTCCACTAATTGACAGATGTTGGCTTAATTTAATTTTCTAAAGAGTTATTTAATGGAGAAGATGTACACAGACTGTTTTGAGAACATAATCTCTGAAAATACTGTAAATACATTGGGGTTTCCTCAATGTCAAAGCAGATACCTGTTTTCATACTTATATATACATGCACACACAACCAAATATAATTGTATAATGCCAAGTTCAGCCATCAGTCCTATAAAATAAAAGTAAATGTTGAACTAAGGTATATTAACCTTGGGGTAGGGAAGATTCATTATTTCAGTTGTGCCTATACTATTATGCAAAGTAACTGTATTAAAGTTTACTTCCCTTTGAGTAAATGTTTAATATGCCTAACACAGCGTTCTCTTAAACTTTTTGCACAAAGACAAGGCTGTGTAATGTATAATGTTGTATTTTTACATAGGATGACTATAGCGATATTTTTTGTAATTCCTTTAATCCGTTGTTGTTGCAGTATGTCTTTGTAGAGTTTGCAACAATCCTCAATCAAGTCTATGGAAAATTATTTATAAAATGTATTTTTAATCATAAGTTGTTCAAATTAAAACTTTTCTAAAATGTAGTTAACATTTTTATTTGGCCACCTAGGGCACTGTTGGGAAAAAAAATATCCAAGAGGCAGATTCTTGATAAGGAGAATTCTGGGTTCCTTTTGATATTCAGAGTTTCTGCATTTCTCCCCACTTCCTGTGACCCTCAATATTGTTTAAAATTGTAAACTTGGCTTTGGAGAGGCTGTTGCTTGACCAAGGACACCCTGCGAAGTCCCATGTCCTTCCCACCCTGCTGAGGGACATGAGAGATGTAAGGCGGAAGCTGGGCTACTTCCTAGCCTGGCATGACTAGCCCCTATCCCAGCCTCCTGCTCCCCACTGAGGAAGGTCTGCCTCCAGTCCTCTACCACACTTCTGGATAGTCTGTCTCCAGGGAAAGGAGGACAGCAATAAGGACCCTGATTTCCTCCATATTATGCCTCCATGAACTTCTAAGAAAAGGAATGAGCTACAATGTGTTCTATATCTGCTTGTTATGGAACAAACTGCATCTTGAAAATTGACAAGAGCCTTTCATGGGCAGGGTTGTTGTGTGTGTGTGTGTGTGTGTGTGTGTGTATGTTAGTTACTGGGGTCTGAATCCAGAGGCGCTCTACCACTGTGCTGCATCTCCAGCCCTTTTTATTTATTTAAGACAGGGTAGCATTGTTGCCTTCAACTTGCAATCATTCTGCCTCAGCCTCTCAAGTACTAGCTAGGATTCCAAGTATGTGCCACCACACCCAGCCAAATGGCCCTGCTTTTAAGGTACTTAGTTAAGAAAGACATGAAAAAAAAAAAAGCCTTTTCATGCAATAAAGAGAAGTTGCTAGGGGTCTATATAGACAAAAGAGCTTAATAGAGCTACTAGGTTTAATTCATACAGAACAATGAGAGAAACACCAACCCAACTAGAAATAATGCAAGACAAATCTGCTTCTGTAGCTGTGGCTCCGAGAAGGTGGGGGCTCTTATTCCCCCTCCTTTGGCAACTAGAGAGGATAGAGGCCAAGGTTCTGTTCTGTTCCCTTCATCAATTCTCTATGTGAAGAAACCTCTTTGGGAGAAATCAGATGCACAGGAAGAAAGAAGGTGTATTAGATGCTGAGGCAGCAATGCTGTCTGTCCCACCCAGTCTTCTTCTCTGACAGATTTGTGAGGCTTCCCCTCGATCACCACCTTCTAGGTCCTCACCCTGGTGTGATCCCCTCCTTGTGAGTGTGGGTGGGACCTGGCTTGCTTCTTATCAATAGGCTATAGTATAAGTGGTAGGGGTGTATGATTGTGTGGTTGTGTGATTGCATTAGATGAGTTATAGAAACTGACCCACTGGAGTCTCTGTCCCTTGCTGGCTTCAAGGAATCAAATTATGTGAGAGAACCCATGGCCATGGACTGTGAGCAGCCTGTTGGAGCTGAAGACTGCGTACTGCCAGCAACCAGCAAGAGACTGAAATCTCAAGTTCCACTATTAGCTCCAAGGATGGAAATCTGCCAACAACCTGAGTAAGCTTAGAGCAGATCTTTCCTGAAATTAAGCCTTAGACAAGGTAACAGCAACAACTGCCACCATGATCATAGTCTTGTGAGACACTAAGCCAAGGACCCAGGGTCTAGGCCCTGCCCAGACTCCTGACTCACAGAAATGGTGAGATAATACAGGAGTGCTGTTTTAAGATGCTGTTTGTGGTAATACTGTTAAGTAGCAATAGATAACAAGTACAGCCACATAACCCACCAGTGTCCACAAATATCTTCTTTCTGTTTGTTCTGTTATTGTTCATTGGTTTTATAGGCATTCATAGAAGGAAACATCACTGGGACATAGACAGTTGGAAGCAACTGTAAAGATGCAGGTAATAGTACAGTAGTGGGCAAAGTTATCTACCCAGCATGCGATTCTTTTCCCAAATCGCTTCTTCATTTCCTCTTCAGGAATTTCATTTTCCACACTGGATACAGCAAAGTAGACTGTAACTGAGGGCCCAACCAGTGCCTCGCAAGAATGATCTTTGTGTTCCGCCCAAACAAATCTCCCTGGAATTGGATGCTCCATTTCATGGTTGTCTTGCATTCTATTTCTGTAGCTGGGGTTCCTACTTTACAGCTTTCACAAAGGCGTCTGCCCATATTCACACCTGAGTTTTTGCTATTTTCTAATTCTCTGAACCTTTGCTATCCTTCCAATAAATATCTTTTGCTTAAAGCAGCCAGTCATTTCTGTGACCGATAATTAAAAGACTTAACCAGATCACAGAGGAAAATCCAGGACCGGGCTGGGGATGTGGCTCAAGCGGTAGCACGCTTGCCTGGCATGCGTGTGGCCTGGGTTGGATCCTCAGCACTACATACAAACAAAGATGTTGTGTCCGCCAAGAACTGAAAAATAAATATTAAAAAATTATCTCTCTCTCTCTCTCTAAAAAATAAAAGAAAAGAAAATCCAGGACCAACACTTCCCAGTTTTCAATTCAGTTAGCTCCCTGCACCCTGGGCCCAATAAAAGAGTAAACAGAGGAGGACTTCAGAAATTCTTACCTCTCCAGAAAATGCAAGTAACTCACCTATGTTCCAGTGATGTAAAACACCATTTCCAATACCTGAAGGAGAAATAGTTGAAATAAGAGAAGAAACTCAGGAAATGAGAGCAACAGAATTGATGCAAAAAAAAAAAAAATTCTAAACCTACTTTAAAGCAAATTCCTTCATCCTTGTCCTTTTCAAGTGATTAGTGTTCCTGCAGATAAAGGATAAAGAGATTTTCAGAACTTAAAGCAGATAAGCTGTCTGAGCAATCCTATTAATTATATAAGAGCATGTGGGTTGACTGCTGATTCTTTACAGTATTTATCAACGACAGGTAGTTTTCAAATCTTGAGGGTCTAAAATAAAAGACAAGCTCAAAGAAAACCATGTCATTACTTTGGGTTGAAAAAAAAAACATCAATCAATCTCATAATTGACTTTTAAAGGAGTGGTTTTACATCTCAATGTCCCACTTGAGTGAACTCAGTCAATGATTTTCTCAATTGCATCAGTAGCTAAATGAGGACTTGTCATGATTGTCAACATTTTGTAGAAAAATATAGGTAGGGAATATATTATCAGTTTCCTCCAGTAGATCAACAACATTTTTGAAAGACACTTTATACAGATAATCCTCAATTTACAATGCTATGGTTTAATGACTTTTTCACTTTCTTACTGTATGAAAGCATTACACATTCAGTAGAAACCATACTTGAGTTTTGATTTTTTTTTCCTGGGTTAGTGACAAGCTGTATGATACTTTCTTGAGATGGTGTGCAATGCAGCAAGCCACAGTTCTACTCAGTGATGAGATTCCAAGGGTAAACAACTGGTACCCTGCACTGTACTGTGTTGCTAAGCTATAGTATTTGGCAGGGATTAAGAAAATTAAGTGCATTTTCAATTTACAGTATTTTCAATTTATGATAGATATATAGGGATATAATCCCCTAATAAGCAGAAGAGAACCTGTATATTGAATTCTATTTATAAAGTATTTATTTTGTTTTTACACACAAGGAACACTGTGTTGTACAAAACAATGTCTATCATCCTACTTTGTTTAAAAAAATCCTCCATAAGTGACTCTCCTAAAAGTTTATCCTGAATGAAAAGCATTCATTTCAATTACTATGGATTACAATCTTTCTAAAATTATAATATACATTTCCCCAATTCCTGAACAAAATATATTGAATATAACCTTTTTGTTCAAGTTTCAGAAATTCATGAGCATAATTGTTTTGTTCAAATTCAACCAACACTTAAACCATCCAGCCTCCAGGGGCTACTAAATGTATAAGTCTATATTCTCCTACAATTAATGGCTCAGAATGTCATTCTTTTTAATCTCATTTGTTATGGCTCTTGGTTTCCAACTTTGATAACAGCTTCTAGTTGCCTTGTTTCTCTACCCTCGTGATAAATTTCTTCTGACATTGGAAAACTGAAGGGTTCCAGAGGAACTCAGGTCACCAAACTCACTTTTATAAACCATTCCAAACCAGTTGGTGTTTCAAGGAGAGCTCCCTTCCTCTCCCCTGGGGGAAAGGACCATAAATTCATGTCAGGTGTTTCCCTTGGCAATCAGTGGCTCTATCTCTGTACACACAAAACAAAGCTTCTTAATGCAGGGTATCTGTGACCATGATGGAATATCAGGAATGCTGAATATAAATTATATACCTTATTTTTTTAATCAAAATTCAACACTTGGACAATAAGAGCATTTCTGCACAAAGGTATTTGAAAAACAGGATGTGTTCTAGGGGAAGAGAAGGACTTGGGAGACACAAGGAATCATTTTTATTGAGAATCTACTATTATACCAACTGCAAAACAAAATTATGAGGTATTTATCATCAGCCCCACTTTGAGGACACTAATTTCAGAAAGTGAGAGGATTACATCTCAATCCCACAGGAAAGCACAGGGACAGCATGGAAGTGCAAACATGCCTGGTGACAAAGTCTATGCTGATTCCACCACTTCACACTCCAGAGCCGGGTCATCTGGGAGCTACTACTCATTTAGAGACTGAAGAAACAGGCTGATTCCAGGTTGTGCATGACAAATGGGAACGGCACTTCGTAGCACTAATCCCAAGGCGTGACAGCTATTGCTATTTCGGGCTCTCTACCTGTGTTGATTTATTCTGGATCAAGTTGCTTAAGTTTGAACAACATTTTAGAAAACTCTTTATGCTATGCTTGTGATTCTAAATTGGTCCAAAGAGGAATTTGCAGTAGGTGTCGAAAGAAAAGTGAAGCAACTACTATTACTCTCTGGGGTTATTACAATTTGATGCAGTGACATACACATACCCATGGGCTCCAGCTTGACATTGCTGTCTTCCTCTTCTTGTCCACCTCCTCTTCCTGAACACGGGCTCTGCTGCCCTATCACCAGAAAATTTGTTATTTCTCTACTACCAGCCTCTCTTGGATGGCTGGGCATACTTCTCAGATTGGCTGGTTCATGACTCCTCTGGTCCTTCAACTTGCCTTTCAAATCTTCCCTTCTCTAGCCCCTCCCACAATTGTGTAAAGTCTAATTCCTATTTAAAAAAAAAAAAAGCCTTCTCTTACTTCATAACTCATGGTGGTTCTGCTTTCCTAATTAAAACCTGACTATACAATTTCATGTGATACTTTTGAGAGGAAATGGAGGAGGGGGATTCCAGAGATACCCAGAAGCCACCCACTTTCCAGAGCCCAGAGAAAAGGATGAGCCAGCAAGTTGGCACTTTGCAGCCGTGGGTCATTTTAGTTGCCTGTACTTTCAAAGCTGCAAATCCAGGGGCTGAATCATCTTAGGTCAAACTGCCCTTTACAAATGCACATATGGAGCTCAGCTACTACACACTGCATCTCTCTTCCCCAGCTCATTTACAATGCCAGGAGATTCTGCATTCAAGATCTCACTTGACTTAACTCAGTGCATGGTCTATGAGCTGAAATCTGGCTTCTAATCCCAGCTCTTCCTAAATAAGGCACTTACCCTCTCAGAACTAGATTCCTCCTCTATTGTTACAAGGTGATCTCAAGGAGATGATTTCTGAGGTGTCTCAGAAATAATGTTTTATGAAAAGTAAGTTCAAATGCACTAGTGATTCAGAGCACATAAGCAGAAATTGCACTTAACAAAAAGAATTTTATCAAATACATGGGAAAAGGCTGATCCCAGGGGAAAAGGAGACTCTAATGATTAAACCACTAATCCTCAGACTTCAATGCACAATATTCCTCTCAGCTAATATAACATAAAACAGATTTAGATTTTATTGCTGCTATTGTTGCAAGAAGTTGTTACTTCTATGAAATTTAATCTCACAGATCAGGAGTCTATCCACCCTCCTGTTGGTTTTAATATCTTGACTTTGCTTACCAGTTCTATATTTTTTTGTCCTCTAGAACATTTTTTTTTTTGAGATGACCTATATGATCTTGAGCTTCAGCTGTAAATCTGAGGAAAGTGAATAGACTGGCATCTTCTTAACAAGAAGCTTTGTGAATGAGATATTCTGAATGACATAGAGCCTTGGGGGGATCACCTCATCTAGGGGCTCCTAAATTTCCAAATTCAACCCTAACTTTGGGCTCCTGAGCCAGTGCCATGTTGATAGTATCAGAAACACCAAGAAAGCATCTTCTACAGATTCGTGGGCTCCCATTCTCAGAAATGAGTCTAGGGCAGAGTTCTTGAATCTCTATTTTTAAAAGATTCCTAGGCAATTCTGATATGTTGCTAGGTTTGAAGAAAAATGATCTAAGAGAATCTTCATCCAGCATTTAAATTATTAAAGAACTTCTGGTGCTAGTTAAGACAGAGTAAGTCCATTGTAAGCTATCTGTTCACTGATGACAATAATACCTCTTGACAGAACACAAATGCTACAACCAAGAGAACAATTGGTAGGACAGTGAACTTACAGGGGTTTTCTTTTCTTTTTTAATTCTTGGCTTTGATGTTGGAACCATCAGCCTTCAGATGGTAAAGATACAACTCCTGGTATGAACCTAATCAGGCTGATTGCCTGTTAAAATAACTAATCCTCAGACTACAACTCACTAACCCAACATAAATTAACATTATTCAGAGGATTTTAATGGAACCTAGAATTCTCACAGCATATTATTCAAAATTCTAGGAAGTTACTTGACTTGTAAGAAAAAAAAGAAAAAGAATAAGAAAGAAAGAAAATATGCCCAATTCTCAAAGGAAAAGACAATTAACAGATACCAAAGTAAAACAAATTGAAGATGATCCAGGTGTAAGGGTGAACACTATCGAAATGATTGGAAATAGAGAAGTTCTCATCAGAATAACAGAAACTATAAAAAAGAACCCCATGGGAAAGAAAAACTCATTGAACGGGCTCAATAGCACACAAAAAAATTTAGCATTCTCCAGAAGTTTTTAGTAGGACCAAGAGTCAACAGAATGGAACAGAGAGTCCAGAAATAGACTTATGCAAATATGGTCAATTGATTTTTGTACAACAGTACAAAGGCAACTCAATGGAGAAAAGCTAGTCAAGTAGTGCTAGAATAGTTGAGTATCCATGCACACAACAAACATGAACCTCAACCTATACCTCACATCATACACAAAAATGAAATCAATAGCAATAATATCCCTAAACATAAAATGTAAATCTATCAAACATTTAGAAAAAGACAAGAGAAAATTTTGCTACTTTGAGTTATGCAAAAAAGTTCTACATACTACACCCAAGGCATGATCCATGAAATAAAATACTGTTAAACAGAATTCATCCTAATGAAAAAATTGTCCTCATAAGAGGCACTCTAAAAAATGAAAACACCAGTCACAGATTGGGAAAAAAAATACACGCAAATCACAATCTGATGTAGAACTTATAATTCAACTACTTAGAAACTCTCAAAGATTCAACAACAGCTCAATTTTCTAAATGGGCAAAATATCTGATTGCTTTACTCAAGAAGATATACATGATGTTAAATTAATACATAAAGATGTTCAACATCATAATTCACTAGAGAAATACAAATGAAAATCACACTAAAAACACCATTACACATCTATTAGGATGGATAAAATTGAAAAAAAAAAAAAAACCAAAACCAAAATTGACCATACAAAGTGCTAGTGAGGATGCAAAGCAACTGGAACTCACACATAACTTGTGGGAATGCAGACACTAGAAAATGAATTGGTAGTTTC